ATTTACTCATTCATGGACTCATTGCGTCTCCTATTCATTTTTTCACACACTCACTAGTTCATTTGCTCACTCAGTCTCCTATTAATCTGTGCATTGTTATGCACATTCTCACTCAGACTCTCACTTACTCATTCACTGAGACCCCTCACCCCCTGATGCTCCCACTAGCTGATTGCTGCCTGTCTTTGCCACCCAGAAGGAACTGGGGCCCCAGGGTGGATCAGGCTCTGTGCTCAGAATTCAGAATGTGCTCCCCACCGCGGGGCTGGCAGTCTCGGCTCCTGCGCTGTTAGAGAGCAGTGTGACCCCCCCGGGCTAACGCTGCCATTGGGGGTCCCTGCATTTGAGGCTCAATCCTGGGGTGGGAGTCCTCACCAATTTCCACCAGAGCTGGAAAATTTGAACCTACGCACATGCCATTCATCACAGGTTGGTTAGCATTCAGCTCCAGGTCAGTGCAGCCTCTGTAGAAACCACAGTTCCCTGAGGTTGGGAGGAGGGTGCAGGGGGCTAGGGCTGAAAGGTGTCCCGAGGATGCCCTCTTCCAGGCTTACATGGGACCCCAGGACACCTTACCTATCTCATTGCCAAAACCCCTGTAGAGGTTGCTTAGGTTCTGTCCTTCCTTCCCAGTTCACCTAACCCTGCTTGTGCTCTTAGTGGGGTCAGCAATACCCTGAGGGTATCTTTGGGGTCATATCACCCCTCGGAGCCCTCACAGCCCCATAGGCCTCCAGAATTTATCCTGGAGTTGTCCCTCCCCCAACAGACTAGCCCAGGTCCCTGCTTCTCCATCTAGCCCACTAGCTTTCTTCAGTTACTGTATTTATTTATGGCTTCCCCTCACTCACTTAAAGCAAAAGGTCATTAAGAAGACAAGAAAGAAAAAAAAGACCAAAATGGATGTCAGAAGAGACTCTGAAACTTGCTCTACTGTGTATAGATGTTAAAGCAAATGGAAGAAAAGAAATACAAGACCTGAATAGAAAATTTCAAAGTCAGCTTGAGAAGACAGAGTCACATATTACAACGAAATGTTCAAAGACTTGGAGTTAGAAAATCAAGAGGGAAGAACATGCTCAGCATTTCTTAAGCTGAAAAAATTCAAGCCTTGTATTTTCAATACTTCAATAACTTGCATTATTGAAGTATTGTTTGGGCAAAATATTAAACGATGCAGAAAGCATCAAAAGAAGATGGAA